GACAATCACTTGCTGTTCTCTTATATAAGTTCTTCTACCAATAAAACTCCACTAATCAGTCATACTGGGTCTGGTGAACCCTTAATTTCCACGCCATCAGAGATCTGCCTGCCTCTGCCTCCTGAGTGTTGGGATCAAAGGTGTGCCATACCACGCCCAGCTGAGAATGCAATCTTTGATTCCAGTAAATATGAATTATATAAGCAGGCAGAAATGATGGAGAGACTGACAATCATGAACCTCTCTGAGAGAAAGAAATTTGAGCTGGATCCAGAACACTGAGAAGAAGCCAGTCTCAAAAAGAGCTGAAGGAAAACCCAGTCCTGAGTCTGGAAAGCATGGATTGGATTTATTTAAGGAACAGGAAGAAAGCCAGTGTGGCTGAGTGGAAGGGGCTGGGGGAGGAGAATTGGAAGAGTCACAAGTTTCATAAATGGGAGGGGTATCCCTGCCTACACTCTCCAAATGCTACCCTCCTTAAGTTGTATGACACATAGCCAGGATAAGGATTTATTTTGTTTTATTTGTTATTCTGAGCAAAATTTTAATTCAGTGCGCACGAGCGCATGCGGGCGCGAGCGCGCGCGTACACACACATACACACACACACACACACACACACACACACACACACACACACACACACACACACAGTATTCAGAGGTGACCATGTACCATTCAATCCTGCCCAAAACAGAACCGATGAGTTATTTATGATGTAAATGCTAAGTCCCATGTTCCACTGCCTCTCTTCATTCCTCTCTCCTTTCGGCCCCTCCCCTTTCGAGCTCCCTGGTTCAATGCGAGACCACTGTTGGCAGCTGCCCCATTTGCCACCTACTGAGCCCACCCCTCAGCGGCTACTTTACCAAGGGAGGAGCAAAGGAGGCAATTGAAGGAAGACTGGAGGCACGAGGTCAAGGAAGCACAGGTCTAGCCTAGCTCTGGATGATCATAGGCAACCAGAGAGCTGGAGACCATGTTCTATATGGGCCAGGCTGTTGCTTGTCAAGGTCTCCAGGGCCAGAGCACTTGAGGAAGGAAGGTGATCACAGGAAAGATGCTGTTTGGGTCGGGCCAGAGGGACGCAGCTTGATTGAAAGGTACCACCTGTCAGATCTTCAGGCGAAATTTGAGCCTCCCAGTCTAAGAGAAAGTGTTGTACCAACAGGGCAGTAAACAATGCTCTTCCCAAAGCCTGGGCCTCTAGAAGGGGGGGGGGGGTAAAGCAAGGAGGCGGGACTATGAGCTGGGGGCTCAAAGCCACCAGAAATTAAAGGACATGGGAGTGAGGCTACTTAGCTCGAACGAGCCAGGAGCTCCCAAGCTGCAGGCAGAACCCCACAGGTAGGAAAAGCCCTGGGCCCCTTTCTAATTACTCCCGAATCTTCCAGCCCCAACTCTTCCTTCCAAGAGCCAGATCTTCTAACGAGTACCTGACAATGAAAGAAATAAGAAATTCAGACTGCTTCCTAATTCTCTCCACTATATCAACTGTTTTTAGCTGCCTAAAGGAGTTGGGTAAAGGAGGTCAGGTACAGAGTAGCCTGCAAGTGGCCATCTATGAAGAGGACCTTAGAGGGAGAGGTGGAGGTCTTGGGGACTTAGGATGCAATGGCCCCTCCAAGAAAGGGCTGAGGTGGTAAGCTAGGGGGCTCAGAACTATTGGGAGAGGGACTGGGTGGCAGAGGGCGATAGAGGCACTGCAGAGAGAGCAAGCGTCACTCATACTATTCAAGGCTCGGATCTTGGGTTTTCCCTCTGGATTGGGGAACCTGAACTGGACACAAGCTAAGGGTAGTAGTTGGGGTTCAGGAGGACGAGCGAAGAAGGAAGCAGAGAATAAAGCAGGAAAGGAATGGTTGACAAAAACTTTCTTTCATGAAGGGGTTAGTGTGCACTTAGACCAGAGAGGAACCCCTCAGACTTATTCAGTGGCCCCTCCCCACAGGCGAGCTGACCTCTCTTCTGAGCAGGGAACTGTTGAAAGGACATTGTGGGAGGATCTAGTGGGAAAACTATGTTTAATACACACTCTAACCCTGGACTCAGATATAGTTTGGCCTATTTAGTTCTCCTAGTCACAGGAACCAGGCTCCTAAATTATAAAAGGGGCTAGTGACACCCTTCTGAGGGGTCAGTCAAGGGATGACTAAGGTAAAGTAGAGCACTTCAGTGTAAGCTGTAAACTGCTGTAGAGTCAGGAGCACTGGGGGAAGGGAGTGCTATCCTCACTCCTCAAAATTCAGAGCATCTTCACTCCTTGTCTATTTATGACAAGCCTAGAGGGGGAAAGCAGAGGTGATGAACAGGCAAGGTGACTGAGATGTGTGTGTGTTCCCAGACACACTGTCCCTCCCCCCACACACACCCTAGTGTGTACTGTGCAGCTAGAGGGAAGGATAGTAGAAGCAATCAGCTATGTCTTAGCCAAATATGCCTCACTTGGGGGTATAAAAAGGACTTGTTACCATCTTACTGGCATTCAGTTCTTTTTGTCTTGTGTTACTCATAATGCCCTGGGGGCCAGGTCAGGTCCTCACCCTGGCTCAGGGATGGTACAGTCAATCTTCACAAGGCAAGCTGTGGACTAAGGACTCCTTCCAAATACTGCCCGTGTGCTAGTGGCCTAAGCCTTCCACTGTCCATATGGGGGGAGACCTATTTCTATCTACAGAAATGGAAAGGCAGAACAGCTACCACACACTAAACAGTGGGAGCTAGAATCCTGCCACAATGCCTTTCACCACTGATTCACACCACCTTCCCCACAAGGACAAAGAACAGAGAGAAAAGAGGGTTTGTGGCTCATTCAGATTCGAACAAGGTATTATCAAAGGGATCAATAGGAATGTCTCATGGAAAACATTCCAGTAAGAAAAGAGGACAAAGAGAAAACCCATAGCCACACAGGTTTGGGGAAAGGTGAATTCAATGATATTCAAGCTACATTTTCAGTTTTTTTTTAAACTCAGTGGCATCTGATACCTATTTACCTGCTAATGATGCTGTATATCTCTAGGAGAGTGAAAAGCTGACTATATTTGGAACAACCTTGGTCAGTGAATAAATACATATTCCTCTTACTGTCAAGAGAACATTTATTTGTTTTGTTTTCCTCTTTCCTTCCTTCTTTCCTTCCTTCCTTCCTTCCTTCCTTCCTTCCTTCCTTCCTTTCTTCCTGCCTTTCTTCCCAGACACAGCCTCAGCTGACCTCAAGCTTACCATGTACTGGGACTGATTCTTCTTCTACCTCACAGATGCTAGGATTAAGGCATGTACCACCACACCCAGTTTATACTGTGTTTGAGGTTGAATCTCGTGCCGTGTACATTTTAGGAAAGCATTCTGTCAGTGAGCCACATCCCTTTTGTCTGTGCCATCCCTCTACACTGTCCATATGTCTAGAAACCAGTCAAAAACTGGGGCTCAGAGGGAATGCCATGAGCTCAAAGTGAGTGACTCAAATGCCAGGGTCATGTGCCGTGAACTTCCATCTCCCATGTATGCTGCCATCAGGCACTTTCCCCCTCTTGCAAGAATATATGGCAGGAGCTGCTGCACCATAAGGGGCTGTGGTGGTGGATGGTCTTCATATCTTCACAAAATATCTGCTTCCTAGATAGTGGTAGACACCAAACACAGAGACCTCGGGTCTCTTGTCTGGAGGAACAGGAAGACTGAAGTGGGTGGCAGAAACATACCCTGTCTTCATGCCGCCTGTGTTCTGTTCCAGTTTACCAAGGTGTCCTAGGTACTCTCACCAAGAAAGAAAGTACTGCCAAAAGCAGGAGGTATTTTTAGCCAATGACAGGGTGTCCACTTTTCTTACTATCTGAGTCATGCCCTGTACCCTATTTGGGAGCTGTTTTCTTTGTAACTGGACCCCCAACAAGAGAAGGTAGTAAAGGAATTGACCCTGCCCTCCACACCAAAACCATACACCATACTCAAAGAGGACCCCCTAATTAAGGGACATCTTCTTCACATATACCCAAGAGCAGGTGGAGGCCAGCTTTGCAGACTAGGGAGGATGCTGCTCTATTTTCTCACACAAAGAAAACTCTTCTCATTCACTTTCTGAAGAAGCACAGAGGTTCAGAGACTAGCCTGTCCAGGCAGGGCTAGTCACCAAATCTCTTTACACCACCCCTGTTATTTGTTATTTGACATTTGTAACAGCTTTACTCAAATTTCCTAAATGCCTGTCTTGTTTTGAATTAAGTTATTTTTAAATCCAATAATGCATTTTTAAAAGATACTTCAGATCACTGCTGGAGATGGGAGCTCAATATTGCTTTCCAGAAATAGAAGGTAACTGAAAATCCATACAACTGAAGCAAGACAATGCTGTTTGGTTCTGTAGACTGGCCTGCTTTAGACTCCAGGGGGTGAGAAGCAACTGTTCCTTCCACGTTCAGGAGCAATGGTATTAAATTGTGACCACCTCACTGTGTTAATCAAAATGAGGCAAAATCATTGAAAAGGTACTGTGTGAGGCTGGAAATACCCAGGGCTAAAGTGATGGCTTGCACGCATGAAGCTTAGGTTTGATCCTAATAACAATAACCATAGTAACAATAATAATAACCAAGTGTGGTGGTGCAAGCCTGTATGTACTTCTAGCACTCAGGAGACAGAGGCAGTAGGATCAGGAGTTCAAGGAAATACTCTGCTAAAAAGCAAGTTTGAGGCCAACCTGGCTTCCTGAGACTCTGCCTCAAAATAACAACAATAATAAAGCCATAATCTATAGAAGGGCATCGGGTAAATACCATCTAACACCAAGTCAACATGGTCCAACTGCCTCACTTTAGCAAAAGAAGCCCTGTGTCCTTCATGTTACCACAGGGAGAGTGGGTATGTGGTGTCATGCCCAACTAGTAAGGGAAATACAATAGAATTGAGGACTTCTTGTTCTCGAGGCACTCACAGGACAGGGTCTGCACCTCATGTCAGGGTTGTGTGTGACAAAGTCTTCGTGTCTTCTCTTTCCAGACATGGATCAGAAAGAAGGGAGTTCCACTGAGAATGGGACCACTGTCTCCCCAACTTTGGGGAATCTTGGGACACCAGGAAGTCAAAGCACTGCACAGGAGGTGGCAGAAGGCACAGCTGGGACAAGTGTCAAAGAAGGGGCTCCAGATGAGGCAGAGCAGCAGTGCAAAGCAGCATCTGAGAGTGGAATGTCAGGGGAATGCCCAGAGCAAGTAAATGTATTAGATGGGCTCAATGTAGATTTGCAAGGGGAGGCCAGTGGGAAGGAAGAAGTCAAGGTTGACCTTGCAAAGGAGGAAGGTGGGAAGGAAGAGACCCACGTGACTTCTCAGGAAGAGACTGTCAAGAAAGAAGAGACAAAACCTGAACCCAGCGAGGTTAAGGGAAAAGAGGAGGCCACGATGGCTTCGGAGAAACAAAACGCTGATGGAAAAGAGGCCAATGTGGACTCTAAAGAGAAATTGGACGTGAATGATGACGTCAAGCCTGAACCCAAGGAAGGTGTTGGGGCAGAGGTTACCGTCAAAGAGGCTGAGGCAGAATCTCAGAAGGCTGATGTGAAAGTCCAGGCCAATGCTGAACTTCAAGCCGATGGTGGGAAAGAGACAGAAAGTGACACAAAGGAGCAGGTGGTGAGTAGGGCATAAATGAGGGTCTTAGGTCCCCTCTTCCTCTGGAACCAAGGCGCCTCCCTGCTCCCCTTGTTTGTTTGGGATTTTGTTGTTGTTGTTTGTTGTTGTTGTTACTACTACAAAAAAAAACCCAAGCAAATCAATTTAAAGGGGGAAAGTTTTATTTTGGCTCATGGTTTCGAAGGTTTCAGTCCTGGCTTCACTGCTTTTTGGTCTATGACAAGGCAGAAATACGGTGAAAGCGCAGAATAGAGAAAAATGTTTTCCTTATGGCAGCCAAGAAGCAGGGAACAGAGAAGGAGAAGAAATCTCTGAACATAAGGTATTCTCCTCACTGGGGAGATGGCTGACTGAGCAAAAACTCTTACTAAGTGAACATAAGCACCTGAGTTCAAGGCCTCAGAACCCATGTACAAGTCAGGCACAGTAGAATACACCTGAAATTCCAGTGTGCCAGATGGGAGGCCAAGACAGGAGAAACCTATTATGCACAGGCAAACAACAAAGAGAACTTGTCTCAAAGAAGGAAGAAGTAAGGATTCCACCTGAGGCTGTCCTCTGACCTAGGTATACACACACACACACACACACACACACACAGAGAGAGAGAGAGAGAGAGAGAGAGAGAGAGAGAGAGAGAGAGAGAGAGAGAGAGATAAATGCCTTCACACACACAATCACATCATACACACATTACAAACATACATACATCACATAAGATATATGTCCTACAAAGTTACCCCTCCCATGAATAGATCCTCTAACTAGGCATATCACCTGTAATAGCTCATTCAATTATGAATTCGCCAATGGGATAGTCTGTTGATGAGCCTAGAACCCTCATGATATAATCACCTCTCAATAGAGTGTGTGGCCACCTTCTGTACAAACCATACCTTGGGAAAGTACAGTCTTCCTCCACCAGGTACCAAGATCCTGGGAGTGGGGATAGGGAATGGAGATTGTGGCTCAGACTGCCTTCCAAATTTTTCTGAAGTTCTTAGAAAGCCTTGGGTAGCTGCCCACACAGATCCTGTTCGCCCCAGGAGCCAGGGAGTCCCACTGAAGAGCAGGAGCAGGCTAAGGAAAAAGAATCAGAAGAAAGGGCAGCAGTGATTCCCAGCTCCCCTGAGGAGTGGCCGGAGAGCCCCACAGATGAGGGAGCCAGCCTCAGCCCAGGTAAGGGAGAGCCCAGGATGTTGCATGGCTAACCTAAAGAAGAAAGAAGATGCAGGGAACACATCACAGAAACTCTCAGCTTCCATCTGTTCTATTCTTTCCCTCCAGATGGGTTGGGTCCAGACTCTACTGGAGAGACCAGTCCTTCGGCCAGGTAATGTCAAGCCCCAGAGCTCTGACCCCTCCTTTCTCTGCCCCCTTTGAAGTCAACTGTCATCTCTCTCGTTGGGCCACCCCAGCACCTGATTTCCAGAAATTCCAGGATTCCTGGCTCTCAGCTTTGTATCTCAGACAGATCCCAGAAAACAAATGGAGTGAGAGGCATGGACGGTGTCTGGTCTACCTACTGCTCCATGGCTGAAGCCTCCTCAGGCCCTATGACTATTCACTACAGCTCTCTAAGTGTTATCCATAAGAATGACCAGAAAACCCAAGTTTAGACAATGACTCTATCACTTACCAGCCATGTGGCCTTGGCTATGTCACTTAGTCTCTTCTCATTTGTGAAGTGGACATAACAATTGTAAGGACCTCACAGGGTTATTGTAGGCTCCAATGACTTGTGAGCAAAAGATCTCTTGAGCGTATAGTGTCTGACATTCGGGAAATGCTAGACAGCCAGACTTATTCTTCCATTGCACTTCAGTCACTTCCTTGTCTCGTGGGGAAGGCTGGCGGATGACTACTCAGCAAGCTTTGCACAGCTTTGCAGAAAGCACAGCTACCTACCTGACCCCGATGGTCTGTAGTATCACCTTACCAGATAGGCATTCTTGTCCCCCTTTTACAGATGGGGAGCCCAAGGTTCATATAAGTAAGGGGACAGCCCCAACATCGCACAGCAAATAAAAACAAAGCCAGGATCCAAACTCAGGTCAGACCTTAGGTGTGCCTTAGTTCTGCCCCATATGGCCTCAACAGACCACATGCTCCCCAGAGTTAGCCTGAGTCTCTTTATTGCTTCTTGGCCCTTCCAGTGCTAGGCACAGGGTGAGTGAGCATACCAAGTAAGCGTAAGTGCACAGGCCTGTCCATTGCAGCCACCTCTGCCCACCACCCCTCAAGCTGTTCTGCACCCTGTGGTGTTTGTTCAATCCCCCTTTGTGCTTCTGCAACCAGTCCATGTAGTGAGTCTTCGCCCAGTGATGTGCCCCAGAGCCCCACGGAGCCCCCGCCCGCGGAGGAAAAGAAGGAGAGAGCACCAGAACGCAGGGTGTCAGCCCCTACTCGACCCCAGGGACCCCGAGCACAGAATCGCAAAGCCATCCTGGACAAATTTGGCGGGTAGGATGCAAACCAGGAGCCAGGGTGGGCTGAGATTTCCCTAGGATCTGTGGGTGGGACTAACGGAGGGAGGCCTGGGGGCCAGTAGACACCATCAGGCCAGACACACCTGTAGCCAAGATTCCCCACAATGGGCTGTTTGTGGTATCTTGCCCCTCCCCTCACAGGGCAGCCTCTGGCCCCACTGCACTGTTCCGGAACACAAAGGCAGCTGGGGCAGCCATTGGTGGTGTTAAGAACATGCTTTTGGAGTGGTGCCGGGCCATGACGAGAAACTATGAGGTGGGCATTGGCTGGGGATACAGAAGGGACAGGGGACGCTTTTCCGTGGAGAATCTGAGGGTTCAGATTACAAAGGGTGGGAGGGCCAAAGTCCAGGCCATCTTGCCCATAGTCACTCAGGTCTTCCATTCTCTGCCTAACCATCTTAGCATGTGGACATCCAGAACTTCTCCTCCAGCTGGAGCAGCGGCATGGCTTTCTGCGCCCTCATCCACAAGTTTTTCCCAGATGCCTTTGACTATGCAGAGCTGGACCCAACAAAGCGCCGGCACAACTTCACCCTAGCCTTCTCTACCGCAGAGTAAGCTTCATTCCTGGGATGGAAGAGTCGGAAGGGAAGTGGGTGGCCTCAGAGGCATCCAGGTGGGTTCACAGGGCTTATGTGAATAATCAAACTGAGGCTACTGCCACACAGCCTCCTATCTAAGGGTTGTTTGTTTGTTTGTTTGTTTTTGGTTTGGTTGGTTTTTTTTTAAGCACCTTTAGTTAAATGGCTCAAACAGACAAAATTATACTTCATTGTGGCTTATAGTCTAAAAGAAGAGACAGGTCATAAGAACATACATGCAGGTTAGATATAATGGCAGGCAGTGACAGATGCCCTGAAGAAAATCCAGGGGTCTGGGGAAATGGCTCAGTTGGTAAAATGCTTGCTGCACAACTGTGAGGGCCTGAGTTCCATCCCCAGGACCCATGTAAAATGCCAATTGTGGCACAGGCAGGCAGATCCCTGGAACTTGCTGACCATCCTAGTCTGATTGGTGAACCCCGAGTTTGGCGAGAGATCAAGACACAGATAGCATGATGGGTAGTTCCTGAGGTACAACACCAAAGTTGACTTCCAGCCTCTGAAAACCTGAGCACACACATCCAAAGAAAATCAAAATTCAAGCAGAATAAGGGAGAGAAGAAAGAAGGCCTCTGGTTTCAGCCACAGGGGGTACAAAAACTTGGGGTCAGATTTTGACTCTGTGTAACCTAGGACATGACCACACCCCTTTATCTCCCAGACCCCGCCCCATATCCCATGATGTTTCACCTTTTACAGAGGATAAGAACTCAGTAACATAATTAAGTTCCTGTAACCCGTAACAGGGTCTAATGTACAGCAAGCACTTCAAAAACTCTTGGCTACATTGCTATGGTTATAATGAATGATATCATGGCTATTTTGATAATTACCATTGGATTTGGGTCCTGGAGGGGTGTTATTGATGAGGTTCCTATAGCCACATGTCAAGGGTAGCAGCTGGTGGAAGGGCAGAGTAAGGAAGAGTGAGACTAAAGGAAGAAACTGAGACAATGACAAGACTCTGAACAATGGGTGTGGTGGCACATGGCTACATTCCCAGCACTCAAGAGGTTGAGGCAAGAGGACCTCAAGTTCTAGGCACACCTAGATATGGAGTGAGAGCCTATTTTAGGTCAAAACTAACCAATCAATCAAACAAACAAAAAAACATGGTTGCCAGAGTGCCCCTACCACCTTCAACTTCCTGCCTCCAATCTGGGAGATGACCCCAGAAAGAAACTTCTGAACCACTGGTGGAGACAGGGTTGGGGGGCAGGTGTCAACAAGAGAGCAACTCAGGCCCCTGATAGACAGCCAGGCAATTTTTCTAAAGCCCACACATAGTGGTGTGTGCCTATAATTTCAGCACCCGGAAGCTGATGCAGGATCACTGAGAATCTGAGGCCAGCCTCATTTCTACAGTAAGACCCAATCAATCAATCAATCAATCAATCAATCAATCAGTCAGTCAGTCAGTCAGTCAACCAATGGCTATGGCTGTACTTCAGTTTATACAGTGCTTGTTTCCCTGGCACCAAGTCCCATGTTTGATCAGTAAATGTGATGGAGCACACCAGTAATCCTAGCACTCGGGAGCTAGGGGCACGAGAATCAAAAGGTTAAGGTTATCCTTGACTACACATAGAGCCGGAGGTCAGCCTGCGACACAGGAGACCCTGTCTCAAGTAAATAAACAAACAAATCCTAGGAATTGGAGTGCTAAATTATCTGGCCTGTGAATCTAACCCCTCTAGTCTAATCCAGGCCTGGCCACCAACCAATGGGGAACAATGTGTGTTTTCATCAGGAAATTGAGAGTATATTGGTCCATACTTCTCAACAACTTTTTTTTTTTTTACAGCAGGTTTTCTCAAACATTGGTTGCATGAGCTGCATAATATACCTATTATGGGGAGACCTTCCATTTAAATGACCAGTGGCCGACACTCTCTTCCTAAAAGGGTCTCTGGGCATATCCTTAGGACCATAGGACACAAGGATGCCTTTTAAAAGCCACCAGATGGTCAGGTGTGGTGGCATGTGCCTTTAATCCCAAAAACCTGGAAGGCAGAGGCAAAGAACAGCAACAACAACAAAATTGCAGCCAGACTGTATTTCCTATAATCTCTTTAATTCTTATGTTCTTCATTGGGATAAGAAGAGTGCCTTATGTAGGAGAAACAGTCAGGGAACACTGAATCATATTTCAGCTCAGCAGTTCTGACTGAAAGCTATGTAAGCATCTTCCAGGTGTCTGTCTGGACCCCACTCATTTAGTTCTCACAGGTGGAGGTGGGCAGAGGGATTGGGACCTTCCCAGGTCCTACAAGAGGATTTTTGGGGTAGGTATTATATGATACTCCTAGAAGTCTAGCTAAACTTAGAGGCAACAAAGGAGCAGGCATCTCTGCCCCTGCCAAACCTCCCTAACCTAGAGCATGCAAGACTGGTTTCAAGCCAGGCAGAGCCACAGAAAGGCAGAGGGGGCAAGTGGAGGAAGACCACAGGCTTTGGGTGGCACCAGGCAACTGAACAGGAATGAGGCTAGGGAGAATTCTAGAGACGAAGAGTCTAGAGACTCACATTTGCCGTACCAGGATTCTGATCCCTGCTCCTTTTTCCTAACTCTGAGGCCTCTCTGGAAGTGATATGTGAAAAGGGGCCTCTGCACAGCTATTGTCCTGCTCCCCTGACCAGGAATCTCCTCTAGTTCTCAAAGTCCTGGGATGAAGAGAAAGAATGACCAGTCCAAAGCCACAGTGGGGCTTTATCAGTTACACTGTGAGAGGAACCATCCTGTGTTCCAGATTCTGTAGGCATCAAGAGTTTGCCTCTCCAGTGTTGGGGGAACAGCACTGGTCCACATCCGTAGGGTTGAGGTTGAAGCCTTGGATGCAGTGAGCTTATTTGTCCCATTCTCCAAAACCCACCAATCCATACCCCTCCCCAAGCACCCAGGACAGTGGCTTGCATATCAGCCCAGCTATGGCAGTCCCAAGAAAGGATTTCCGCTAGGGCCTTCTTGCTCCCATTGCCAACATTCATGGTTGGCTGGCTTTGGCAGCCCAGAATGTTGAGAGCCACAGTGCCAGAGACACTGGGTGGGCTTGGGATTGAGTCCCAGCTGTTAGACTCTTTCACCTTGGGCAAAGCACCAAACCCTCTAGCTCAGCTCCTCCTCTGCTTGTTAGAGATAAAGAGAAGTAACTGAGACCATCTCCTGGGATCACCCGATAAGACACCAGCCCTGAACAGGGAGGCCCCAGCAGTGATTAGCCAGCTTATCAGCCTCAGCAGAGCCAGGGGTATCAAGTAGCCTCAAAATGCAGCTGAGATGTTAGAAAACGAGGACTTGCTGGGTTCCCTGCAGTCTGGAAACACACCAAGCAGGACCTTTGCAAGATGTTCTTTCTCTACCTACTATCGAGCACCCCATTAAAAATGATCACAAGTCCTCTTTAGCATAGAGTGGCCCTTTTCAGCTATCTTTTCTCCCATAGCACCTCTCATATATGCTTTCTGCCCAATGTGTTTGATTACTGTCGGCACCATGAGAACAGTTTTGGCTATTGACTGCTGACAGAAGACTGCCTGGCACACAGTAGGTGCTTAGCAAGCAGGTGATCTAATTGAATGGAGCTGATAGGGTTGCTGCAAGCCAGCATACTAGAAAGGATTCATGTCCTGTCTTCTGAATCCAGAGCACAGCAGTAATTAAGCGCAAGGAGGAAAAGAAGACAGACTACAACACAGAGGTTCCCATGTGAGGCTATGGAGACCGAAGTCCATTGAAATGATAGGTCTTAGTCTTGTCCCTTCAGGGGCCTCTGTTACCACACTCAACACACACTGGGATGGCTGACCTGGTGGCCTTCGCTTGGCCCGACCCATCCATCTCCTTGGCTTCCTCATTCCACCCTCTCCTCAGGAAACTAGCCGACTGTGCGCAGCTGCTGGAAGTGGATGACATGGTGCGGCTGGCAGTGCCCGACTCCAAGTGTGTCTACACCTACATCCAAGAGCTGTACCGTAGCCTTGTGCAGAAAGGGCTGGTGAAGACAAAAAAGAAATGAATGGGAAAGCCACGCCGGTGGAGGAAGGGGGGTCAGCTGACAACCATGGCCTTGAGGTGCTTATACGCCACTAGGCATGGAACAGGTGACACCAATCTCCAAAGCATTAAAAGTACTTTTGTAAGGTTCCTCTCATTCCTTCATTCTCCCGAGCCCTAACCAGCCATACCTATGTGCAATAGGGGGTGGCCAGAAATAAAAAGAAACTTGCATTTGAAGCTATGGGTAGCAGTTTGCTAGGCTCTCTCTCTCTCTCTCTCTCTCTCTCTCTCTCTCTCTCTGCTCCCTCTCTCCTCTTTCTTTTATTATTCTGTCACCCCTATCTCTCTACCCATCTCTGCCTCTCACCTCCCCCTTTCCCCCTCTCCTCTCTTTCTCTACTCTCTTCCCTCTCTTTATTCCCCCTCCCCTCTCTCTCTCTTCTCCACTCACTCTCTCCACTCTGACTCACTCACTACTCTTTTCCCCTTTCTGCCTCTCTCCCATCTTTGTCTTCTCTCTCCTCTTTCCTCTTCTTTCCCCCTCTCTTCTCTCCCTCTCCTCTCTCCATCTCTCCTCTCTCTCCTTCTGTCCTTTCTTTTTCTGTCCACTCTCTCTTCTTTCTCTCCCTCTGGCTATCCTCTCCATCCTTTTCTTTCCTCTCTTCTCTCCTTTTTCTCTCCTCTCCTTTCTTTCTCTGCCCTTCCTCTCCTCTCTCTCTAGTCTCTCCTCCTTCTGGCTATCCCCTGTCTCTCCTCTATCCTTCCTGTCTCCTGTCTCCTGTCTCCTGTCTCCTGTCTCTCTCTCTCTCTCTCTCTCTTCCCCTCCTACTTCCTCT